TTTTTTGTTGTTGTTTTTTTGAGATGAAGTCTTGCTCTGTTGCCCAGGCTGGAGTAGAGTGGCGCAATCTTGGCTCACTGCAACCTCCACCTCCCAGTTTCAAGCGCTTCATTTGCCTCAGCCTTCCAAGTAGCTGGGATTACAGGCACCTGCCACCATGCTGAGCTAATTTTTTTTTTTTTTTTTTTTTTTAGTAAAGACGGGTTTTCACCATGTTGGCCAGGCTGCTCTTGAACTCCAGACCTCAGGTGATCTGCCCACGTCAGCCTTTCAAAGTTCTGGGATTACAGGCGTGAGCCACGGGGCCTGGCCCATTTTCAGGTTTTAAAGGCTAAGGAACCCCATGGCACTTCATAAAGGAAAATGTTATAGGAAAGAAATTGTGTTTCCTTTTGAAGTGAAAATTTGATTTCAAAAGCCTGACATCATTGCAAATAAAATAATAAAGCTCCCTGAATTTGGAGTCCTTTATGCTATTCCTAGCTTCCCAGTCCACTTCTGTAGCTACTAGTTATATGTTGCTTTTTAAATTTAATTAAAATGAAATAAAATTTAAGATTCAGTTTCTCAGTCACTCTAGCCAGATTTCAAGTTGCCAGGAGCCACACATAGCTAGTGACTACACTTTTGTACTGCACAGATAGCGAACATTTCTATCCTGGTAGGAAGTGGCGTGCCGGGGATAAGAGGAACCTCATGGTTCCTCAATAACACGTTATCGACTACTGAAGATGTGGGTCTAAGACCTTTCTGAAAAGCTCACATAATGCCCCAATTTACAAGCTTCAGGTAGACCTCCCTCCTTTTCCTTTTGGAGGTCTTGAGAAGTTGACCTAGGGTCTATTTTCTGAGCTTCATTTTTACCAAGGTTCTGAATCTTTGGAGAAATAAATTAGGGACTTACAGTGAGTGGACTGTAGGGGTGAGGAGTTGTCAGGGCATCCTCATAACAGTCTTCATTCATCGAGTCATTCAGTGAAAGAGTGTTTATCAGGCACAGGCCAGAGGGAAAGCTCATTTTGACATTAGAGCTGACTACAACAGAGAACAACATATAAAATTTTCTGTGCAGCATATATAAAGTAACATGTAATCTCATCACATCGTTCTGTGAAATAAAGTGTGAAGGGAAGCGGTGCCTAGAGAGGGATGTAGGGGAAGGAGGGGTTATTTTAGCCTGGGAAGACCTCCCTGATAAGGTGATACTTGAGCAGAGATCTGAACATAGAGGGACGGAACCTTGTGGATGTGTGAGGTAAGCATTACAGGTAGAGGGAAGCAGGGTAGAGAGTAGCACTCGGAAATGTTCAGCGTTATACCTAAAACTACTCTGCAGATTTTAATTAGGCCTCGTTCTAGAACCTTCTGGCCCTGTATTGCTTAGGATAAATTTTCCATTGTTCTAGAGTAGTAGTTTTCAACTGGGGACTATTTACTTTTTGGGCAGTATTTGACACAGTCTGGAGACAGTTTTTGGTTGTCATAATTGGGAATGGTTGGGTGGCCCACTGGCATTTAGCGGGTAGAGGCCCAATATGCTCTTGAACTTCCTACAATGTACAGAACAGCCCCCACAATAAAGAATTATCTGGCCCAAAATGCCAATAGTGCCAAGATTGACGAACCCTAACCTGATGAAGGCTCACCAGAATTCATCATTTTTACACAGTTGGTGTCCATGCCACTGTGAGGTTCTAAGCCAGTCCTTAGTTGAATGAGTACTCCGTGGCACAAACACAGCAAGCTGTGTTGTGCACAGTAGCTAAGGTATTAGAGAATCAAGTGAGTGTCATGGTGTTCAATCCTCTTTGGAGATTAAAGAGTAGAAATGGAAAGCGTGGTGAGTTGACCATTTCAGAAAGTTATGCATGAAATCATAAAGGAATGAATCATACTTCTGGTTATGGTGAAAAGCCCACCTCGTAATGTCACATGGAGGTGATGAATGTTGACTGTGCTGCAGTAAAGAGGTGGTGAGATTGCTTTTATTATTATTGTTTTATTTTTGAGGTCTCTTGTGACTATGCCATGTGTCAACTCTTTGATCTAAGAGGCTGTTAGGAAATAATATTCATCTTGGTACTGCTAACCATGAAGGACCCTAAAGGATCAGCTGGCCAAGCCATGACAGCGCCCTGAGAAAACTGACAGTTACCCAGTTGGGAACCTTGATATGTCACTTCAGGGATGGCAGGGAATAGCAGTTTCTTAAATGATCCCTTTTCACAAAGGAAGTGGAAAGGAAACCAGAGCTGTGAATTGATTGACAGTCTCCCATGATCCAGCTTTTTGTCCAGTGTCAGCACCTTAATATTTGATAAGCGTTACATAAATGTTGTTATAATGGCCACAGATTTCTTCCAGAATAGGTTTCTCACTTTTTTGTATAAATTAAGCGAAAGGTACCTTGTGGTGGGGTGTAACGCATGTATATTTATCTACACGTGTTATGGTGGCCTGAATTTTCCACAGAGCAGATGGCTGTTTGTACTCACTTCTTCCCAAACCCTCTTGTAGATATTTGAATATAAAGATAGATTCATGTGGTCACCGCCCCCAGGGAGCTCAAAGGCTCCTTTTCTCTTTTCTCTATTGAAAGCCAATTTTTATCATCAGTGGCCACTGATGTTGTAGGTTCAACATATCAACGTCTAATATATTCATCTCAATATTCCTCTTATAGGTCTGCAAGGAGTTTGAAAACGTGTAAGATTATTTATACATCAGGGTGGCTCAGAAATACTTTTTCTTTAAATTGGAATGATAATATCTTACCAAAAGTATTGACATATCTGTTTAAATTGTGAGCTGTGAATGTTACTCCAGCTTCCTCCATTCCTACAGTTTGGAGCTGAAATTGGAGAAGGTCATGTGAGAACCACTTTCCTCCCCAAAGAAATGTTGGCATTATTTTAGCATCTCTTTTTCTACCCTGGGTTCTTTCTCACATCCCAGAGTAATTCCAAAAGAGTTTCTTCAGTCAGAGCTGTTGACAAGAGACTTTATTTTTGGAGATATTTTTTCTTTTAAGTTTTCTTTCTTAGATTTTGATTCTAACATCTCTGATTGATAATCACATTTTCCAGATTTCCATCTATATATTAAAGGATTAGATTTGGGGATTTCAACTGTCAGTATAAAAAGGAAAATTTGTTGCTATCACACATGTATTATTTAACACCATTATTATGTTTCTTAATGAGTAAATTAATAAAACAGCCATTGATTTTGTTTTGTTTTGTTTTGTGTTTTTGGTTTGAGACAGAGTCTCACCTTGTCACCCAGTCTGGAGTGCAGTGTCATGATCTCTAGTCACTGCAACCTCTGTCTCTCGGGTTTAAGTGATTCTTCTGTCTCAGCCTCTGTGGTAGCTGGGATTATAGGCATTTGCTACCACATCCAGCTAATTTTTTTGTGTTTTTAGTAGAGACAGATATTTACCATGTTGGCCAGGCTGGTGGTCTCAAACTCCTGACCTCAAATGATCTGCACACCTCAGCCTGCCAAAGTGCTGGGGTTACAGGCATGAGCCATCGCGTTCAACCTAGCCATTGAATATTAAAACATGTTACTTAGAAAGTAGAAGAATTACCAAACTCCATTTCTTTTAAACTAAGTAATTTTTTATGGTAAGACTAGCATATCATGTTCTTTTAATCTTATTTTCTTTTTGCTTATTATACATGATGATTTTCTTCTAGTTTCTTTTTTTCTAGTTTTATACCTTTTTTCTAATTTTCCTCATTTGACAGCTCCAAAACGTATACATTATGACTTAAATAATTTGTCTAGAGGTAACCTCAGCTGAGCTCTGCCCTTCGCAGAATATGTTTTACAGGATATTAAATGTGTTTAAAGTATTCTTTCACATTAATTGGTTGGCATTTAGATGTTTTAAGTTATTTTAATAAATTAGGTAAAGCTATAATATAAAAGGTAGAAAATACATATATTTTTAGTGTTCCAGGACACTTGGTGGTCTGTAGAATGCTTTAAATGAAGTTAAGATGAATAGTTTATATTTGGCTGGGCATAGTGGCTCATGCCTGTAATCTCAGCACTTTGGGGAGCCCTGGTGGGGGGATAGCTTGAGCCTTGGAGTTCAAGACCAGTCTAAGCAATATAGTGGGACCCCGTTTCTACCAAAGGAAAAAAGATTAGCTGGGTGTGGTACACCCTTGTAGTGTCAGCTACTTTGGAGGCTTTCACAGGAGGATTGCTTCAGCCTGGGAGATTGAGGCTACAGTGAACTGTCATCACACGGGTGCACTCCAGCCTGGGTGACAAAAGCAAGACCCTGTCTCAAAAAAAAAAAAAAGTTGTTATTTAATTTTGAGTTCTCACTACAGGACAGCATAGATTTATGGACTAGGAAGACGGGAAATATAATAATTAGAGATATATTAATTGATTTTAGCTTTTTGTCTGTAAAATACTAGTCATAAATGCAGTTACTAGAATCCATGTTTATGGTCTTCAAATCTGATTGAGACAGAGAGTTATTCATCAAAAAGCCGCTAGACTCACCATTTATCACAACTAATCATGAATTTATATCTCTGTAACCCACAGGTATGATGTATGTCTTTTTTTTGGTAGGGGCATTTACTGCAGGCATTAATTTCAGACATTGAGAGACTTTTATAGCCATTTAACTGTTAGCTACCTAGAGACTTACATAATTTTACTGGTTTCTCTGTGTTAGCCTCTGGGAGTAGAGTTTCTCTGCACAAAAAGAATGTCATCAGGCCGGGCGTGGTGGCTCAAGCCTGTAATCCCAGCACTTTGGGAGGCTGAGGCGGGCGGATGATGAGGTCAAGAGATCGAGACCATTCTGGCCAACATGGTGAAACCCCGTCTCTACTATAAAATACAAAAATTAGCTGAGCGTAGTGGTGCGCACCTGTAGTCCCAGCTACTCGGGAGGCTGAGGCAGGAGAATTGCTTGAACCTGGGAGGCGGAGGTTGCCTTGAGACAAGATCACGCTACGGCACTCCAGCCTGGTGACAGAGTGAGACTGTGTCTCAAAAAAAAAAAAAAAGAAAAAAAAAAAAAAAGAATGTCATCAGTACAGAACTGTTGGAGTCCTTCTTTGCCAGCCTCAGTATTGAGTCTGTGTAGAAAGTCCCCGGCAAGTAGCTACGTGCAGGTGGTTGCTCAGAGAGCATTTTCTGACAATCTGTGCCTGGAACATTCATTGAGGAGGCTGTTCATTGGCTTTTTGTGGCAGGAGGCTTCTGTGACCGTGGAAGATTGGGAAAGATTGTAGTAAGGATAGTAATGCAGGTTGCTTTGCTGCAGGACTTCTCAGGTAATTTAATAGTCCCCTCTGAACAGAATGGGAAACTTCTCCACTGTGCACTTACACATCCCATTAGAAAGTGAGGGAAAGAGGAAAATGGGTGTGTGTCGGAGGGTCTGTTTGCACAGGGGAGAGGGGTGTGAGGGCGGATAAAGGTTGACTCTCCTGAGTTGGCTATCATAATGATTTCCCCGAAGCTTGATGAGGGCTGTGCTGCTGTTCGGGGGTGTGTTGGGAGGGAAATCTCAGACCGCAAAGATGAGTTCCACATGAGGAGTCACACACCTGCTATGAAGTAGTAGAAGGAAAAGCTCTGTCAATTTAGATGACAACTATTTTCCTTGCTTCTTTATTTATTGGAAAAGAAGAATTTGTGGATGAAAGAATTCCTTGGGGATAAAATGCCATTTAGTTTAATGTGACAACAATATGTTTTCAAGTCACCATAAATGAAAATGTTTACTAGAAACAATGGCATTTACATTTACGGACATGAATTTTGTGTAGTATTTAAGAGAGTGATGATATATGGGCATGTGGGATGGTTTTCTTTCCATGAATTTGGGAATAATAGAATTGTCACCCACAAATGTTTATTTTTTGTTTTCACTTACATATAGGGTTTTTACTCTGTTGCCCAGGCTGGAGTGCAGTATCCTTTGGCCCAGTCATAGGCCACTAAAGCCTTGAACTCCTGGGCTCAAATGAGTCTTCCACTTCAGCCTCCTGAGTAGCTAAGGCTACAAGTGTGTGCCACCACACCTGGCTGATTTTTTCTTTTTTGTAGAGATGGAGTCTCACTATACTGCCCAGGCTGGCCTTGAACTCTTGGCCTTAAGCGATCTTCGCACCTTGGCCTCGCAAAGTGGTAGGATTATAAATGTGTGCCACCACACTTAGCTGCCCACAAATGGTTTGGTGAAAGGACTAAACCCCCTAAGAACTGAATTTTCAGTAACAAGGAATTGAAGATTTTAGTCAAGCCAGAATACATGTGATTGGACCTCAGCAGTGAGAGTACCAAGGAACGTTACCTTTGGAAATTAAACTTTAAGAGGGAAGAGGAAGAAACTGGGTACAGAGAGAATGGGGAAAGAATAAAATATGGTGATGTAATTTTTAACTGTCCTTTTGTTCTTTCTGACTGTAAAGAGTAGCACACAATCAGAAGTGTTTTCAGATGTTCCCACATGTCCCCTAGGGAGGCAGGGGAGAATCCTTTTTGGTTGAGAATCCTCTGCTGTAGAACATGGAAGAAATAGTAATAAATAGTAATAGTGTGGGAGAGTGTAGAATTATTACATGGTAAATGTGGCCATGAATTTTGACCTGCCAGGTTCATTTAGGCAATTCCAAAAGTTTCCTTATTGCAAATTAGGCAGATTTTAAGTGTTCCTTAGCATTTGTTAAATGTGGTGAAATGGATTTTATTTCCCTTTGAGTTGTGCTATATCAGCCGTGGAGAGCATGCGTGGTGTTGATTGTAGCTCAGATTGAAAATGAAAGATAGCCAGGAGTTGCTTAGTTAATGGGGTATGCATTGCTCTTCAATTTGTGCAATTCGTTGTTTAAGGTGAATGAATATTTAGGGATGAATGATTGGGTTCGTTTTTAGACATTGGCTACCTTACCAGGATGACAGTTGACAGAGCTTTGTGGTATATTTCCTCATGTGAATGGCTAAAGTTGTTGCACAGGTCAAGTCAAAACATTAGACAAGGTCATAATGTTAATTATTTGAATATGTTAAACTGCTGAATTTACATAGGTTGGTGCAAAAGTTTGCAGTCTTTCGCACCAACTTAATATATACCCACACACACATATTTGTGTGGGGGTGGGACTAATTATTTAAATGATTTTTCTCAACTTGCATGTACTTTGTTTCCACATTTAATCTAGTTTACATTCAGATTTTGTCTATTGTGTGGAAGCAACTTCATAAAGAATTTGAAATGATCTGTGATTTGAGATTGACTATTAAAAATGGAAAAAATTGCATTTGTCTGGGTTAGAATTTAATCTAGGATTTTAATTTAATAGCTCTTATTGTTGTTTTCAGATTCATGTCTTAATAAAATTAAAAGTTGATTCTTTAAATTTGGGGGCAGAAAGCAAGCTTGTTGTATTTTACTTTTGCCTGCCAGGGAGTGTTTTTTTCCTTGACGTGGACAAAGGGCGCTCTTTCTTTTTATGTTCTAGCCCTGTGTCTTGGGCATCTTAATTCTTTCTGGTGGGATTTTTCTCCCTTGCTTCTTTATCTTTCACTAGAGATGCAGTAATCCCTTCTTCTGTCTCTTATTTCCATCCAAGACAGCTACGTCTCACCATTTACCTTGGCTTCCTTTATTTCTCCTTCTATTCGTCTTTTGTACTTGGAGTGGTCCGCAAGGTGAGGAGAGTTGAGCTCAGTGAAAAGAAAGTGGACTTTTACCTTTTTTACGCAGAACAATGCCTTCAAGAATCAGAACAGAAATAAGATGCATTATAATGGATCTTTGACACTTTTTGATAATGAAGCTTTTAGTTCCCATAGAGTTGCATGTAGGTCAGAAAATCTGCCAAGTTTCTTACTCTATGTTCAGCTCAGGTTTGCTCTGGCATCAATAAGGAGAGAAATGGGGGGGTTGCAGAAAAGTGAGAGCTTTATCTTGCTGTCCTTTACTTTCATCTGAAAAAGACACTTTCTATGTGAGTTAAAAAGCATACTAATTTTACATTTCAATGTTTCTTTGAGTTTCATTTAGACTATACAAGCTGACCATGACATGTGACTTCTATGTGTGCAGTCACATTTAAGATCATTAAATGCTTAGACTTTCTATTTGAATTCTTTGGCATCCCTCGTAACTTGTGTTTTGCAGTTAAATTATTTTGGAGATGAGATATAAATCTGAACCGAAAATAATTATTGTAGCGATGCAACTCTTATTTCCCACCTTGGCTTAATGTGTTCCTATGTGAACTGTGTTTGTTTGGAACGATTTAAAAATATATCTCCTCTCATCCTTTTTCTTTCCTGAACCATAGTAGGCATAGGTGAGCAGATATGAAAATTGTGATGATCAGGCCGGGCGTGGTGTCTCACTTTGCGAGGCCGAGATGGGCGGATCACCTGAGGTCAGGAGTTCGAGACCAGCCTGGCCAACACTGTGAAACCCCTTCTCTACTAAAAATACAAAAATTAGCCAGGCATGGTGGCATGTGCCTGTAATTCCAGCTACTTGGGAGGCTGAGGCAGGAGAATTGCTTGAACCCGAGAGGCGGAGGCTACAGTGAGCCGAGATCATTCCACTGCACTCCAGCCTGGTGACAGAGCGAGACTGCGTCTCAGACAGAAAAAATAGTGATGACCTCTGAATTATCTTCATGTTCCTTCTTTGCCGATTCCCACTGGGGTCAACCAGGGACAAACTCCGGATTTCTTGGGAAATTATACAGCTGAGGGAGGGAGTTCAGCAGGGAGGCGTAAAGTATGTTCTTGGAGACTGCTTTGTCTACCAGAATCTGTGAAGCACTTGTGTTCACATTAGTGTCGAATGAGGAATTTAGGAATAATTGGCCTTTGTTGCTGCCAATCATGGTGATGTATAGGATTATTAAAACGTGTTAAAAGTCAACCTACTCATTCACATTAATTCTTTTCTGTAATATCTAATTTTTGTACCATTAATATTTTTATATTTTATAAAGTATAAAATATTTATATTGATTTTCTTATTAGAGCTGATCAATCAATGGAAAAATGAATAATGTGACCTGCTATTCCTTTTCCCCAAGCCGACTTTCCAGAGATAATGATTGTAATCTTTGTACAGACACTCTTTTCCTTTTTTAAGCATTTGCCTTTGGTGACATCATTCTCTTCACAATGTAGAGTAGATCTCCATCTGAGTCAATACATAAAAATCCATGTTTTTAAAAATAACTACATCTGTTCTGCAGTGTAGATAGACCATATGTTATTCAAACATTTTTTTCGTGATGGACATTCACTTTGTATCCAGCCTTTTCACACTACCAAAGCACTGCAATATCCATCCTCGTGTGCTGGTACTTTTACTTTTGTGGGAGAGGTGGTCAGAAATAGGGTTGCCAGATCAAAGAATATGCTGTTACTTTTTCCCATGTCCTTCAGTACGGGAATTTTCAGATTCGATTATTTCTCCATCACAAAGAATGGGAGAAATGAATGGAAGAACTCCATAATAATATAGACTGAAAATAAGTGAATTGATCAACCAGAAAGGAATTGCGTGTATAGACAACATTTGAAAGACAAGATAACATTTGAAACATTAGATGCTGGTTTGCCAGACTTAAAATGAGCAGGTGCATGTCTTAGAAAGTATATGTGTTATGGGCTGGTGTAGTGTAGGGTGGTGGTAGGTTTGCAGAGGGGTTGAATATAAGCAATAGATTCTTTGGAATTAACTCATAGAGTCAGGTGGAAATTGTTCAGAAAAAAGGTGACGAAAACCATACAATGATAGTTAAGTACTAATTAGAAACTTAAAAGATGAAATTTTACCAGATAGAATATTTGAGAAATGAAAGTGATCCATAGCTTGAGCTGAAGAGGAAGGACAAAGATAAACGCTTAACTACGGAACATTGATAGCAACATATGATAATCGTAAAAGATTCCAATTTGATAGAAAGAAATGGCGGAAAGTGGCAGGGGTGCTGTGGATTTGGAAGACTGATACATGTGGCCAAAATAAGAGACGTTTGGGATTAAACATGATTATTGGATAAATAATAATGTATTGAGCACTTCCTTTGTGTAAAGGTGTTTCAGGTGAATAATGTCTTTTAATTTCTCCTATCAATCCTAAGAGGAGTGTATGATTACTGCTATTATTATGTAGGTGTGAAAATTGAGGTTCGTAAAGTTAAAGAAACTTTTCCAAAACTCACTGCTGTATCCTGAGATCCCAGGAAAGAGCCTAGCATGCTGTGTATGCTTAGAGAAAACAAATTGTCACATAAATAAAAAACTCAAAATCTTCTACCCATTTACTTTTTCATGCATTCCAGGCTTAGAGAGTATCTAAGAGATTACAATCCTTTCCCAAAGTTGATCGTGTAGAACGCAGTGAAGCATGACCTTGAAGGAAGATTTTGTCAAAAACCAAGTTAATTCTCGAGTACAAAGTGCAAATGAGTTTGATGACTGAGGGGTTCCCAGAATGTGAGACATTCATGCTAGTCTGGCCAGCGAACCGGGAATGTATGCCTGGGACCGGGAGGAGAAGTTACTCATTTATATGCATTCAGCTAATCGTTTTTGCAGACGAATGCATGAATATAAATACCCCATTTGGAGTTGGCTTGCTGGCACTTGAAAATCTGCCTGTATTATATATACAAAATGTGAGAGTTGGTACTGGTGCTATTGCATAAGAGTCCAAAGAGTTTACAAATGCAGTGAGATCAATTGGGGCCTAACCAGAGTTTCACCAGAGGACAGCAAGGCCACACAGACTCTGGCAACTTCAGTTGTATGCAGATTTCAAGTCTGCTCCTGTTTGTTTTCTGTTTGAAAGGCTGAATGTGTCCAGCACAGTCTCCGGGGAGATTTCAAAGTTAAAATCATTGTTTTATAATTAGCATCAATATAATCGACATGAGAGGAATGTTGCATGGATTAGTGCATGCAGGCAGCGGGGAGTGAAGGATGCTTGCCTATCGGTGTCTCTGCTTCATTCCCCATCCACATCCACATATGGCTATTTGAGCAGCTTTTCGG